GTTTAGTGAATTCTCCTTGATTACGAGTTTGAGGAGTTGAGCTTGAGCTCGAACACGTGGAAAGCTTAGATGAGCCCTAAGTTGATTAGAGTTGACACATGAGATAGTGCCTACGACCACCTTGCAGCAGAAGGTACGCTAGTTAGAGAGCCGAGAAATAGGCCTCTCTAAGTCCAGAATATCGCCATAGCTAGAGCGAAGTTGCTAAAAGAATAGATGAGCTTCTTTTGAAGTTCTCAATTTATAGGTTCTAAATTTTTTCTCTGGAATTTTCCAGAGGCACATAGTGAATTTTGGCGAATCGCCATGGCGAACCAGTACCAGCGAGACCGGTCGATGACCGGAACAGACTTATTCAGTATCCAGATAGAAACCCTTAGTTCTTGAACTTGGGTTAACGGTGTATAACAACCATAAGGCTGGGTAAATTATGGAGGCTTGAAATAAGATTCAAAAGTTTGGATTTGACTGGGGGCTTGAAGCCGGGGTTGCCATGTCGAAGCCAAGGTCACTAGTACGAGCAAGACCGAATCCAGAGCTAAGAATCCTAGTTTTGAGTTCTGACGTGTATCTGGATTTGTAGCTTAGAGTTTTGGACTTGTACTTTAATTTAGCATTATCGGAGGACGGAAAATTTAAGGAGGATATATTGTAAGCCTCGAACCAATTTTTATATATTAGCTCGACTTTATTTTCTAGAAACAACAAGTTCATAATTATGCCATATTTTATTTATTATAAATCGCATAATTTATTAAGTCTTAAGTTTAAGCCATGGAGAAAACGTTCAAATATTTTTTCAGAAACGAGATAAAATTCTAAGTCTAAGTCTCGATTTATTATTTTAATCGAATACTAGTAAAGTCGAGAATTTGTTAAATTCCCGAACGATTCCAATTTCCGGGCCCAATTAAGTGCGCCATTTTTACTCCGGCCCAATTAAATAAATTGAGACATTTAAAAATCCTAGCCGAATATATTTGGCCAAAAGACGCACAAACGAGTTGAAATTTACAGATTGCCTTCTCTACGAAACAAAAATATTTTTCATACAATTGTGTTCCCATAAAAATAAATTCCAACAGAACGAATCTTTAATGCAAAAGGCATGTGAATCAGTTATCCTACCTCATCGATATTACGGCAAAGCACGCCCGTAAAGGTTTAACAAGGAAGGTTTTTTTTTTTTAAAAAAAAAAAAAAAGTTTGAAAAGGAACAAAAAATGCCAAAATGGATACCAAAAAATAGATCAACTTGGCGAGAAAGTGTGAATCTTCATAGGGTTTCTTTTGCAAGCAAGAAGAAACCATCAATAACCATTATCAATGTTTGGGTTTACTAATTTTTTTAATTGTAAATTTAGATTGAGTTTATTTTTAGATTATATTAGGTTTATATACCATTTTTTTCATTGTAAGTTTATATTTAGTTTATTTTTAGATCATATTAGGTTTATAAACCAATTTTTTTTTTTCTTTTTTGTAAGTTTATATTTAGTTTATTTTTAGATTATATTAGGTTTATAAACCAATTATTTTTTTATTGTAAGTTTATATTTAGTTTATTTTTAGTTTATTATATGTTTACAAACCAATAAAAGATTAACAACTATAAATTTATATATAATTTATTTTTAGTTTATTATACAAGAATACAGACTCTAAATTTATATGCAATTTATTTTCATTGTTTATAACATGAATACTCTTATACACACGAAAACCAAACATTTATTTACAAAATAAAAATATAAAACACAACAGAATTACTAATAAAAATGAAACAAAACCCATCAATATACACAACTATTAAAAAAAAATCAATAACCATTATCAAATCACCATCAATTTAACTCTTAAAAGTGTTCAAAAATATATCACATACTAACATCAAATCCCGAATGTTCAAACATGTCTCTCCCACGTTTACATCAAGTTTATACACTTTTTCAAATATCAAAAGAAATTTGAGAAGAAATTAAAAATAAATCCAAACAGAGAGGATGCATTATTATTCTTTGGATTCGCACATGACCTCATAAAAGGCACCAATATCCAGTCCTTGATCTCTTCCCTATAGATACACAGAAATAATTAAGTAGATGATAAGAAAACTCAAAGACACATAACCTCAAACATAACACAAAAAAAGTCATGTTTTTACACAATAAAATTATCTTTCAATTTCTCAAAATAGGTTAGGAAAATAAACGTAACACATTTTTCTAAACCCGAAATCAGTAAATTATAGATCTAAGAGCAACCTATAAAACTTCCATAATAACAAAGAAAAAAAAAAACAAAATTTGCTAAACCCTAAATCAGTAAATCACATCTTTGAATTCAGATAATTTAGTAACACACACCTTTTCTATTATATCTCGAAAGCACAACTTTTCGATTAGACTCAAGGCGGTGGGGTGGCGCCGACGGCGGGAGAAATGAGTCGGACAGGGATGAAGCTCTCGTGGATTTGTTGGTGCGATAGTGATGACCATGAAGAAAATTCGCCCACTCCAATTTTTGCTTTGTTCAATATGCGTGTGTGTAGGTTTGTTGCGTGTTTTGGGGGAAGATATATTCAGACAATTAATTATTAATTCAAGGTCATTAGAGGCAGAAAAGTGGAATGTTGAAATTCATAATTTTGACTTAAGGAGACCTGATGTGCAAAAAAGTTATTGAGCTCGTTAAGTGGGACATATTGAATTATGGGATCGTACAGAGGGTAATTATCTCAATATATTTTATCTAGACTCAGTTAGCCTTTTTTTTAAATAGATCAAGCCTAAGTCGGTTTGATAACCTAGCCCAAGTTGATTAGGCCCGGTTTTTAAGCCCAGATGGAGTCAAAACCCTAGATCACTAGACCATCTATAAATACCACACTCCATCTTCCACCTACCTTATCCACTTTCAAGAACCCAGCCACCAAATCCATAGCTTTCATCTTCAAAAATCCACCTTCACCTTCTTTTTTTCCCGCCAGTCACCACGGTTCCGGGGAGCCCTCGTTGCCGGTGAGCTCCACACGGCGAGCAACACCTCGGTTCAGCTCACGACGCCTCTTCCCGGTGAGCCCACGTCCAAGGTCAGCCACCCCGTCCAAGCTTCCTTCACGCCGGCGAGCTCACAACGTCCAGCTCACGTCAAGCCCAAACCCATCACTGTCCAGCTCCGCTTCACTTCACGTCGAAGCCTTCCCGCCGGCGAGTCCACGCCATCTCCGGCGACGTCGCCACAGCCGCCGTTCGCAGCTTCCTTCACGCCGCCCTCAGTTCCGGCGAAGTCGAGTTCATCCATTCCCGTCGAAGCAGCTCCGGCCACGTCAAGCTCGAACCCACGTCCATCAAGCTCGAGCTCTCTCCGTCCAGCCCTCCATTCCGCCGGTGAGCTCCCTTTTCGTCGGATTCCAGCCCTCCACAGCCGAGCCTCGTCGCCATCTTCACGGCGAGCCCACGTCGAGCCACCTCCAGCGCGCCCAGCTCACGATTTCAGCTCCAGCTCACCTTCCGACGTCCGTCCACCTCAGACTCGGGTTCAGTAGCTCAAAACCGACCAGATCTGTGAACCTTTGACCAGATCTGAGCATCCCGACCCGATTTCAAATAGCCGATCCATTCCCTAGCCTTACCTCGAGTTCCGATTTTCATTTCTAGTTCTTTTCGTGAGGTATAAGGCTAAATCCCTTCTCCATGGCATTAGACAAGTATTATTTTTAATGTTAAAAATGCTAAGTGAGGATGTTGAGCATAATCTGATTTTATATGATTTTATTGGATTAAATGGCTATAATTTTGTGATAAATTGAGTATTGATCCAAAAAATGCGACTCCAAGTTGATTATTTCTATTTAGATGTTTTGAGGCTTAGGTTTTAATTTTGTGAATTTTGGTGCTGCTATATTAATTGAAATTAAGACTAAGGAGTTAAAATGTTCGATTTTTGTTAAATGAGTTAGAGACTTCGAAATGCTGTGATATTTTTAACATAAATTGTATAAATGCTGAAGAGTTGGTGGTTAAATTTTTATGATTTTTTAATGTCGTTTGATATGATTAAAAATCCGGGACTTTAGCCTCATTTTGCGAAAATTCTAGAAATTGATCCGGTTGAAACTTAGCGGTTGAAACTTAGCTGCAGTTTTTGGGCCTAAAATCACTATTAAGCAAGTTGAACTTAGGGTTAAAGTTTTGGCTTAAAATGAGTAAGTTTGTTGGTTGAACAGAGAACCCTAGTTTGGCCTTCTTTCGGACAGTTTGGATGAACACTAGATCCGAGTAGAAAAGTTGTGGGTCGGCAAGCCGTGTCCGTGCGTATGTACCCGGACCACGGTCCAGTTCAGCCGAATCAGTCCGGATAGTCTGGACGATTCGTGAGTATCCATTTTGAACATCAGTTTGAGCGTGAATCGAGATTCAAATATTTTTCAGAACGAGTTAGATCATAGATAAATCAGATAAATCAGATAAGTCAATTCAGACTTAGAAATATTTCATAGAACTCTAGAAAGCCTCAAGATAATAATTAGCTCATAAATCCTCTAAATTGAGAGTAAATGGTTTTAAAATCGAGTGAGCGAACCTAGTAAGATCAGATAATAACAAGAATCAAGTTTTTCAGTTGAGCTTAGTACGCATTATGTAGCTTAAGGAAAGTCGAGCCTCCGACAACTACCATTCATCCAGCGCACTTGCCTAGCATATCATATCAGGTGGGGGTTACACACTAAGCTACCATCAATTTTGCTTCGCCTGTTACCTTTCAGAAATCGAGAATCATCTTCTCTTTTGCTTTTCTTCAACGCCCAAATCCCCTTAGGTTACCTAAGTTTTCAACGGCGTCCTTTGTTGAAACTCCGCCAGGTGATTTCAAATTCGATGAATAGATCATCTCGACCCACTTAATTTTTACTTGAGACGGGTTTGTTAGAATTAAATTAGACCTTAAACCCATAAATTAAATCATTCAAATAAATCATCCATATAAGAGAAAATACCTTAGTTTTTCCTTTTCCTTTTCTTCCTGTGAAGCATGTTACCACGACGTTCTGACTCTGTTGCATCTTGGTACGTAACCAAGCCTAATATACTCCTCACCATCCCAATCGTGGTCACACGCACATCCTACTCTGCATTGAATTCAATTGTTATATTAAATTCCTGAGTCTAGGGACCTCAAACTCGTCAGGCTCGCTAATATGATCTCGAGCACGTGGATAGCAATAATTAATTATGTGTCAGCAAAAAAATCCAATTGGGTATTTTCCTTGACGATTTTACACTTTGTTGTGCGACCCACTGCATAATTGGTATAGAACGCATTGATTCCGAGAACAACACGACATTTTGTAGAAACTCACAATCATGGCCTTTTTGAGATTCGTGTTTTCATCCAATTTCTGTAGAGGCACAACTAATAACGCGTCAAGCATGTTCTCCAACGTTTCCGCGCTAAAAATTGGTTTTTCAGTTAACAAGCTTGAGTATTCACATTCGATATGATCTATACATTGGTCGTGACTAGTACTCTCTCGCCGTCCCGCACCCGCAGATGTATCCAAGCGTACTCTTCCGCTACGATTATTCTTCTTTTTAAATGGATTCTCGAATCGTTTTTTTTACGGCCATGACGTAGAAGTCTTTGTGACGTACCGCAAGTCGAGCCTCTCTTCCATTTCGTCCTTGTAGGACCAGCACAAAATAGGGTCTGTTCTCGGCACCGTTCGACATATGGATGTTTGGAACATCTGACGATATCAATAATCTTGCATGAAGTTACTTGATCACCCCTTGGTATTCTAGTAAAAATCATGTTTAAGGCTGAATGCACGATCATTTATAAATCTAATGGCAGTCATGTTTTTTTTTTGGATGGACAGTGTGGGGAAAGAGTATGAAAAAACTGCAAAAGAAATAGTATGTAGGAACTAGGAAGAGAAAATTTAAAGCTGGTTAAAAAATTCAACTACTATCACAAATTTTATAGTTGAATTTTTTAACCACCCTTAAATTTTCTCTTCCCAGTTCCTGCATATTATTTCTTTCGCGATTTTTTCTTACTCTTTCCCCACACTCTATACCCAAAAAATAAACATATGACTGTCATTAGATTTATGAATGATCGTGCATTCAGTTTTGAACATGATTTACACTCTTACCCTACAGAACAACTACGCGTAAGATTATTGATACCGTCGGATGTCCAAAACATCCGTATGTCGAACGGTGCCGAAAACCGATCGTACTTGTGTTGATCCTGGAAGAACGGCTTGGCTTGCGGTACGGCACAAAGACCTCTACGTCATGGCAAAAAAAAAATGATTCGAGAAGCCATTCAAGAAAGAGGAAGAATCGTAGCGGGAGAATATGCTTGGATGCATCTGCGGGAGAGTGACAATCACGCTAAAAAATGGTCGAAGTATAGATCATATCGGATGCGAATATTCAAGCTTGTTAACTGAAAAGTCATTTTTAGGTGAGAAAACGTTGGAGACATGCTTTGGGCCTTATTAGCTGTGTCTCTACATAAATTGTATGACAATACGGATCTCAAGAAGGCTGTTTGTGAGTTTCTGCCAACGTGTCGTGTTGTATTCGGAAGCAATGCGTTTTATACCAATTATGCAGTAGGTCGCATAACAAAGTGTAAAATCGTCAAGCAGAATACCCGATTGGATTTTCTTACTTACATGTAATTAGTCATTGCTGTCCACATGTGTTCGAGATCATATATTGGCGAGCCTGACGACTTTGAGGTCTTGAGACTGAGGAATTCTAATATAACAATTGAATTCACTGCAGAGCAGGACGTGCGTGTGACGATTGAGATGGTGAGGAGTATATTAGGTTTGGTTATGTACCAAGAAGCAGCCGTGGGAACAAGAAGTATGGTATGAGAGGAAAAGCGTACGGTATATTCTCTTATATGCATGATTTAACTTATGGGTTTAATTTAATACTAACAAATTTGTCTGAGGTAAAAATTAAATGTCACACAATGAGTCAATGGTCATGGAATTGTTTCGCATTTTGAAGCCGTGGGAACAAGAAGCATGGTATGGGAAGAAAAGGAAAAGTGTACGGTATATTATCTTATATGCATGATTTAATTTATGACTAAAAATCAGGTGAAAGTTAAATGTCACACAATGAGTCGATTGACATGGAATTGGTCGGCATTTTGACACGAGTCGTATGACCTCACACGACTTGTGTGGTTGTGACACGAGTCGTGTTGGCAAGGCAGATTAAGAGTTTTTGGTTCGGCATTTGACATGAGTCGTGTTGCCCTGAGACACGAGTCGTGTGAACTCACACACGATGAGTCACACGACTCGTGTGAGATCACACGAGTCGTGTTGGCAAGGCACATTAACAGTTTTTGGTTCGACATTTTGACATGAGTCGTATGGCCCTGTGACATTAATACTTTTTTGTCTCAATCTTGATTTATTTAAAATAAGCCTTCATGGATTGATTTATTTAAAATAAGCCTTCATTAGCTGTTAGCATATCAGTTCGGGCGTATCCAAGTGGTGATTTTGACTTTTAATCTAGGATCTTGAAGAAATCTCGAAAGCCCAAGAACAACCCTTTCTGCAAAAGATTAAATCATTGGGAAATGTATTCAATCACTATTATAAGCATCACCCGGTTATGATCTTCTTGATTTGCCTGTCAATGCAATACTCATTGTGAAAAAAAGGGATATTTACCCTTTTTCTAAGCTTAGGAATCTTGTAATGGTGTTGTAATGGTGGCCGGACATTCGGTATATACGAGCAGTAGGTGTGAGAAGGTTGATGAAGAGAATGCTTGGTACTTACAGCCGTATCAGAAGCGTCTGGGCCAAGCCGCAACTTTTGTTCAACATATACAGAAGGGAGTCGAGATTGTTGCAAATGATGATGTGGCGCTGCTTTTATTCAGTGGGGGCGAAACCCGTAAGGAGGCTGGTCCGCGAAGTGAGGCTCAGAGTTATTATCGGAACAGTGGTTTGGTGAGTGATTTATTGTCCTTTTTTTTCTCTCCTGTTTGTGGTTTATTGTTATACGGGATGTCTTGCTTCTAGGATACTTTTGCAAAAAAAATGCTTGTTGCGAGTGTTTCCTATAAATAATTGCAGTCGAGTGAGCATGTATATCAACAATTTTATTGTAGATCTTGGGCCTTAATCCTTAATCCTCAGCTTTGCGGCGTGCTGGATATGAATCCTCAATTAAGAGAAATTATGCAAAACCCAGAAATTCTTCAACAATTGACCTCACCTGAGACAATGAAGGTATATATTCAATCCTTTTTATTCACTTGAGTTAACCTCATTATGGTTTCTTATGTGGGTTTATTTTAGTTTTATTGTGAAGTTGGGGGTGATGTCCTTCCTAATTTGGAACCTTTTGTTTTAAAATCAAATTTAAATTGATACAATCATCTGCCTAAATAATCCATCTAGGGATGTGGCAAACAGACCACAAGACAAATGATGTACACTTAAATGCGATTTGATGTGGACTGTGTATTCTGATTGAAACTTAAAGTTCTCATGCTATATGTATATCTATTTTTCATGTATCTTATAGAATCTTTTTCTACATTGTGACTGATAAGGTTGTCGGAAATGTAGCAGTTTCTGGAACGCATTCATGGATATTTTTAGATGAGCTTTGATTCCTCCTCATCTGAGATATATTACTGCATTGTTGGTGTTAAAAGAGAAAAATAAAAATAATATTTCACTTTGTTGCTCTTATTCCCCTAGAGTTCAAGAATGGAAGGGTTTTAACTTAACTTTGGATTAAGTTGAATCACATAATATTTTTTATTGGCTTCAAGCCCTTTATTGATTAACAATAATTCATTGGTGATTCATACAAACATATATTGATGGCTTTTGTATATGAAATATGAAATGCTTATTTGAATTTCTATATTTCACTGTTGGTTGAGGATAAGGGTGTTCCACCTGTTGGTTTGCATTGATATATGGCCACTGGAAATGGATATGACCTAAAAGATCTGTCATTTACCACACTGAATTTTATTCGTGCCCATTTTTTCTAGTTATAATTCTGTGTTAACCTAATGGGTGGCCCATTTTTTCTAGTTATAATTCTGTGTTAACCTAATGGGTGCAGATCTCAAATGAAATCACCCACCTCAAGCGACATAACACCTCCACGTGGCTTATTTCAGGTAGAGTATTTTAAGTTTTTAAAATAAATGTTAATTTTGATGATCAAACATTGGTTCTGTTGAGCGAAATTAGTTTGGATTGAGGGCTAAAAATTTGACGGTTCAATTAACACCACAAAATATATGACGGTTCAATTTTGATTGTCTATTTCTTTATGCACTTTCTTTCTTGTAAACTTCGCGATATATTGTAAGTGTTGTACATGAAATGTAATAATTCAGGAACTGCATATTTCCCTAATAGATTTTCCGTTTGTTATAAAGTTCATAAATGTTTGTCTGGTGGTGTTCGCGTAAGAACTTCTGGACTGTGTTTTCCTTTGCATTGAACTCTGGTCAGATATTATGTTTATAAAAGACTGCGAGTGTCTCTTTATATCCGTTAATCGCCAATAAAGATACTATTGTTTTGGTGAGCTTATTTAATTCTGCATTGAATAAATAGTAATAGCTGCATTCTCGTTTGTAGTTCTTCCCCTGCCTTATATTCTCGAATTCCACAATTTATAGCTGACAAATATGTTACAATGTTATGTCTGAGGCTTTGTGCTAGCTGTTCAAACATACGCAATTTCGTTTGATCTATTTATTATTATTTTGGCCAATGTTTAATAATCTTTGTCAGTTTAGGGGAAAAAATATATTATATAATTAAATGAAATCTTCAGGCCATAAACATCGAGGGGCCTTCTCTGGACAAGATAATCGACTACCACACTGCAAAACTCTGGTTGGCAAATTGAGAAGAATGAGAAAACGGGCCCACTTATTATTGTCCCCGGCAATGAATTCAACCATCCCCAGCTCAAGAAAAGTGCTGCAAATGGCATACCTTTGGAGAAAATCGCACGAATCATCCCCATTCTTAGTAGATCGACAATCACTTTGTTGTGTGAGATGTCAACATGATTGCATTTAAAATTAAAGTTAGATTTTGACCCTTTTTAAGTTGCAATGGGATAAGATTTTTGAATTTTCACATGTTTAAAGATGATCATTTTGAATTTGCATTTTATCTTGAGTGATCAATATCTGGGAAGTTGGAGGAGCATGATAGCTGCTTTGCAGAAGATTTTTGATACTATTGATGGCATAGGCTGCAGTTTTTTTACCGTTGGATTGAATATTGATATAAGTTGTTTTTATTTCTGCAAATGTTTTTTCCCATAATATTTCTGCATGAAGAAGCGTGTGTATAAAACGGACCAAAGCAATACCTTGCTTTTTGAATTTACACAATCTACTGGACTAAACTAAACTGGTGTGTCAAATATGCAAGAATATATACTTCTTATAAAAGGGAAAGCCAGAAAATAAATGTAAATACTAAATAATTGATGGATCTATTACAGGTGGTGAAACTGTCCAAGTAAGTGAAATATTTATAACATAGGATTCAAATGATTCAGTTACCAGGTAAAAAAAACATAGAAACAGAAACATTTTTACTGTTGGTCATTTACTCATTCATACTACACAAAAAAGGGGGAGAGAAAGAGAGACTGCTGGTAGATGAGGTTGGGCCCCCAATCAGGACATTATTAGATGACATGTGCATTGACCTGAGCATACAAGACTNCAAAACGACATAACAACATACAAGAGTTGATTCAGCTTCATCATACAAATTAAACTCATTTCAATTGCCAATAAGAACAAAATTTCAATTGCCAATAAGAACAAAATTTCAATTGAACTACTTCTCCACATACTCTGATTAAAATAATTTATAGTAGTATTTAAATTTATATGACACCGATTTCAAAATTTTGAATTAGCATATATGTTACATACACAAAAAAAAAACAATTTTATAGTAGTATTTGAATTCATATGACACCAATTTTAAAATTCCCAGAGGATTCTTTTTTATTTTATATGATTATTAGAATCCACGATTTAGATTGACATATGTGTTAATAAACACCAAATACAATTTTATAGGATTATTTAAATTTATTTATGAAGGAACGATTTGTTATGAGATACATACAAATCCCTTTTACGGTGAAACGTCCACAAATCTCTTTTTTAAAATACTAGTAAAGTACACGTGCATCGCACGTGGTGACAAATGTTTTTTGCCGATTAAGTTTAGTAAAATAATTTATTAAATATATCATTGTGGGAACAAAATAAAATGTAGAACAAATGAGCTCCTAATGTATTTGTTTTTTCAAAAAAAACATAACGATATACTAATATAAAAAAAATAAAATAACATATTACAACCCCAACAAAAATACATGAAAAATGAGTCTATAATATTTTTTAAAAAAAAGACACTAAATAACTAAATAAAGACATAATGTATAATATAAATGCATTAGTTCTTTTATTTATTCATGTTTGATGATTTAAGAGTAATTTTCTTTCATTTTAGTTTGGAGACGTTCTCATAGAAAAACATACATACTCATTCGAGTTCTATACATCAATAGGCAAATTCTTCTTAATTCATTAGGCAAAAAGTTTACTTTATTCAAACAATGCAAAATATATTGTCCAAACATATATGATTATGATCTTTATAAGATATTGCTAATAACAGTTAATGATTATCTCTGTAAAATAATCGATCGTGTCATTAAAATTGCTGATATGTTTTTCTAAATTACTTCATTATTCTCTCTCTATATACAAATTGATATCTCTCCCATGGAGGCATCGCTCCATGGGGTGAGAATGAGTTTCATTTCCAAATAATAGTTGACCTTTCAAGATCTTAGTTACATATCCTTCTCTCGAGACGCTAAATTATTTTTTTCAATCATCACACATTACATGAAAACTAAATTATTTTTTGAAATCGTCATACATTACATGAAAGTATATACTCTAGAGTAATTGCATATATGTTCGAGCACAATACACCAATGGAATTGTAAATATTTCTATCAAGTTATGATAACTTCATTCAAAATTTCAAAATTATTTTGATCATGCCCCGACATTTCCTTTTCAATGTTATTTATTTAGAAAATAGATGAACTATATAATATGTTGTTTGCAAATCATTGAGCATCTTGGTTGTTCCAATGATTTCAGACTTTTTTATAGTCCAAATTTTTGCATCAATCATAATGTTTCAAAAATTTATGATAAATATCTTTTCTTGATTCTTTAACAATGAAAAAAAACAATGAGATAATATTGAGAAACATATCATTTGTTAAAATATTAGAGAGGAAAAAAAATTAAAATTCTATTATATTATAATACCATTCGCCATCTATGAACTTTATTATCACAAAATCATTATTAAAACATACATTATGTATTACAAAATTTTTTATTTTTTAATTATTTAAAAACTCAAAATTTAATATAGGATCAATATTTATGATAATTTAAATGCCAGTAATAAAAAATGTAGTAATTATTAAAGACTTTTGTTTCTAGATGTTGATATTCACATTTCTTTAAGAAAAAAAAAACAGACTTCTTTTTCCTCATTGCCTTATTATTATTTTATTTATTTCTTATTTTAATAAGAAATAATATTTTATTTGTTAAAAGAATTAGAGCATATTTATATGTATTGTTTAATTTTTGTACCCATTTTATATAGTTATGTTGTTATCAAAGTATCTTATTTATTAGGCTACAACTATAATTACATAAGATAAAATATAATTTAATAATACTTATTTATTTATTTATAATAATATATATTGATTTTTATACTGTTTCTAAGATAAAAAGTTTATATTTTCTTTTTCAATGTTTGGTAAAACATTATGTAACTAACTCATTTTGATATTCTTTGAAAGTATATGTTACAACGATTATGGTGTTCCCTTTCAAGAAGTATTGAATAATAGTTTATCATACTACTCATTTATTTTTCTTTTCAATTCACATAATTAAAATTGACAATAGTTGTAAGTTACATTTATTTTTTCTATGTAAGAAAATATACCACACGTTTATCTTATGTTATTTTATACTTATTAAAATTTATTTAATATGGATTTATAATCTATTTTATGAGATGCTTTTAGGTCTATTTATTATTTTAAATTGGTATTGATATATATATTATTTTATATCGGTATAAATAATTACAATATTTTTATTTTACTTACAATAAATTGTCAAATCAAACATCATTGGAAAGAAATGGTGTGATATATTACATATAAAAGGATAACAAATAAACAAGTATTAAGTATTTCGAAAGTAAAAAAATTAATGTTAGAAAGTAATGAAATATTTAGCTAAAAGATTAATACTAATATCCCTATTTTGAATGAAAAAAAAAAAAAAATTATGTACTTAAAAGTTCTAGTTCAAATGAATGTGCATCTTAGGTGTGTTTTATATATGAGTCTAGAACATTGTACATCATATTAGTAAGTGTTGGAAAAGTCTAGAAGATGCAAGAATGTTAAGGAAGTCCATGAAGTGTAGGTAGTTCTAGAGAATTCTTTTGAGGGATGAGTGCCTATAAATCGGAGAGGCCCCTCATTTTGGCAATCCAAGCATCCAAGAGTCCAAGTAAAAGAGTGTTGTGAGTATGCCCAACCCAACAATCATAACTATCATACACCATGTATAATATATTTTAAACAAAAAAAAAAAATAGTCATGTTAGTATTCCTATAATAACAACAAAAATAATAATATACTAGTATTCCTATAACAACAACAAAAATAATAATTTATTAATTATTCTGATGTTATAGTGACAAAATATTATTAAAACACTTATTTCTTTTACTTTTCAGTCTAAAATTTTAGTGTTGGTAAATAACTATTAAGAAATATGTGTACTACATACTTTACTAATTTAAAATTATTTAAAATTTAACTTTGATATTTTATAGAATTAGTATTTATTCATATTACTTTAGATATTGTGTCCAACAATTTTAATACTAAATAATTATATTGAAATAGTGATGCGATTGAATCATTTTCAAAATCATTCATTTATTTATATATTTTTTTTACTTTTAGATTGGATGCGAACTATAAGCTTGAGCATTGTAAAGTTTAATTTTTTATTACATAGAACATCATTCTTAACTCTTGTTTAGTTATTATAATATTAATAAAATAGTTAAGAACATTTAACTTAGATGTATCTTGTTTGTTTTAAAAAAATTACTAATTATCATAAAGTAAATTATAATTACATTGAATGTGTTATATATTCTATCATTATCAATAATTTTTATAATAATTAAGTGCACACAATAGTATATACAATGAAAATTTTTTTATTGATTTGGAGAAGTACCTTCGCTACAAGAAAATAATGAAATTTCAACGACAATTTCGACAAAAATATATTACAATCAAATTTCAACGACAGTTTTAATGAATATTTAAATGTTTCTCATTTGAATTATTTCAATAAAAATTATAACAAAAATATTTTGTTGGAATCATGGGCAGATCCATTTTTTTTTTAAGATCGCCACTTCCCAAAACATATCGCATAATGTATCTAACAAAAATTGTGGGAACATTTTTTATAATTTTAATCATACCTCCTATTCTGAAAATTAAATTAAAAGAAAGAAAGATAAATAATAAATTAATTTGCGACTCAATCAATTATAATTTAATTCAGCTCATAACTTTATTAAAGTTATAACATAAACATAGTATCACAATTAAAGAAAATAGGATAAATCTAGAACTTACAATTTCACCCTTTTAAATTTTTTTTTTTATTCTTTTCATCTTGATGATAGCATCTTTTCTCTCTTTTGCAACATATTTTTTTCTCTAACTTTTTTCATGTATTTTTCAACTAATGTATGTAGAATTATAGTTATATATTAATAATTTACAAATTCATCAATTATATTGTCGAGTCAACTATACCACAACATAAATTTTTTGTTCATAAAAAATATATTATTTTCAATGATTTTATTATGTTGAAGAAAAATTATGTTTATTTTTTGCTAATTTATTTTAACTTGTCGTGACTGTATTGATGTATTAAAAATATATTACAGGTGAGAAATATAATATATTATAAAAATTATAATTTATAAATTATAATATTTTGATGGTATATCGCCCCCTATAAGAAATTATTTTGGATCTGCCACTCCAATTAGTTTTCCAATGAAACTTTCATTGAATTTTTTAACAATTCCAATGGCTGTTTTTCCAACGGTTGAAATATTGTCCGA